CAGATGACGCCAAAAGGCGTACAACTCATAGACAGCGCACTATCAGAGTATTGAGAGCTCGGGGTGAAGCATTTACACTATGAGACATTTCCTTTAGCAGTGGCAAATATAGTGATAGGTTTGTACCCTTTCAACTGGTACACAAACGGACACCTTTATACGAGGCATCATGTTTGCAATAACCACAACACAAACAGTCAAAATGGACCAGACAAAGTCTTGTGAAATGGTTCCTTGTGGTGCCACTAACCCCTGGGAAGTCGTTACCGCCCTCGTGTTACTGCCAACAGCCTCAATAAACCTGCCGCGCTGAGCACTTGAACATCGCCTCCGTCTCCGAGTCGCCTGGAACTCCTCAACACCAGTACAGCACTAGTGTGTAGTATAGTGTAGTGTATAGTGTAGTGTGTAGTGTAGTGTGTAGTGTAGTGTAGTAGTGTGTAGTGTAGTGTATAGTGTAGTGTGTAGTGTATAGTGTAGTAGTGTGTAGTGTGTAGTGTATAGTGTAGTGTGTAGTGTATAGTGTAGTAGTGTGTAGTGTATAGTGTAGTGTAGTAGTGTATAGTGTAGTAGTGTATAGTGTAGTGTATAGTGTAGTGTATAGTGTAGTGTATAGTGTAGTAGTGTGTAGTGTAGTGTATAGTGTAGTGTGTAGTGTATAGTGTAGTGTATAGTAGTGTATAGTGTAGTGTAGTAGTAGTGTATAGTGTAGTGTATAGTGTAGTGTATAGTGTAGTGTATAGCGTATAGTGTAGTGTATAGTGTAGTGTGTAGTGTGTAGTGTATAGTGTAGTAGTGTATAGTGTATAGTAGTGTATAGTGTAGTGTAGTAGTGTATAGTGTAGTGTATAGTGTATAGTGTAGTGTATAGTGTAGTGTGTAGTGTATAGTGTAGTAGTGTATAGTGTAGTGTATAGTGTAGTGTAGTGTATAGTGTAGTGTATAGTGTAGTGTAGTAGTGTATAGTGTAGTGTAGTAGTGTATAGTGTAGTGTATAGTGTATAGTGTAGTGTATAGTGTAGTGTGTAGTGTAGTGTATAGTGTAGTGTATAGTGTGTAGTGTATAGTGTAGTGTGTAGTGTATAGTGTAGTGTGTAGTGTAGTAGTGTATAGTGTAGTAGTGTATAGTGTAGTGTATAGTGTAGTAGTGTATAGTGTAGTAGTGTATAGTGTAGTAGTGTATAGTGTAGTGTATAGTGTAGTGTAGTAGTATAGTGTAGTGTAGTGTATAGTGTAGTGTATAGTGTAGTGTGTGTGTAGTGTATAGTGTAGTGTATAGTGTAGTGTATAGTGTAGTAGTGTATAGTGTAGTGTATAGTGTAGTGTGTAGTGTAGTGTATAGTGTAGTGTATAGTGTAGTGTATAGTGTAGTGTATAGTGTAGTAGTGTATAGTGTAGTGTATAGTGTAGTGTATAGTGTAGTAGTGTATAGTGTAGTAGTGTATAGTGTAGTGTATAGTGTAGTAGTGTATAGTGTAGTGTATAGTTTAGTGTATAGTAGTGTATAGTGTAGTGTATAGTGTAGTGTATGGTGTAGTAGTGTATAGTGTATAGTGTAGTGTATAGTGTAGTGTATAGTGTAGTGTATAGTGTAGTGTATAATGTAGTGTATAGTAGTGTATAGTGTAGTGTATAGTGTAGTGTATAGTGTAGTGTATAGTGTAGTAGTGTAAAGTGTATAGTGTAGTGTAGTGTAGTGTATAGTAGTGTATAGTGTAGTGTATAGTGTAGTAGTGTATAGTGTAGTGTATAGTGTAGTAGTGTATAGTGTAGTAGTGTATAGTGTAGTAGTGTATAGTGTAGTGTGTAGTGGTGATACGCGCTGACAGTGGGGATCGTGGGGCAGCGCTTGGTGATTGGCTGTGTGCCGGTGACGCGCGCTGACGGTGAGGGATCACAGGGCAGCGCGGGGTCATGGGTTATGTGGTGGTGATTGGCTGTGTGTTGGTGACGCGCGCTGACAGGGAGTGATCGTGTGGCAGCGCGGGGCGATTGGTTGTGTAGTGGTAACACGCGCTGGGAAAACGGATCGTAGGAACAGCGCGCCGTGATTGGTCGACTAGTGGGTGCTCACATCTCGGTCCGCAAGAGGGCTATATAAGGCGGTGCGCGCGGGCGCTCGGGGAGTTGGTGACCAGCGAAGACTGAAGACGGCGGAGGAAGAGATAGGGCCCTGCGGCACCTAGTCCCGCTGTCCTTGCAAGGACCGGGGCTCTGTGTGACCCAGAGGCGGGACCCTGGGACCCGGGGCCGAACGTCCGTGTGAGGGCCGGCTCGCGGGACCCTAAGCTTGGGGTGGGTCTGTAGGCTCCATGGACGTTACGCGGCTGGAGTGCAGCGCGAGCCATAGTCACTACACGTGTCAGTGGAGTGTGTAGTGTGAGAAAGAGACCACACGTTGTATCGTGACAAGTCAAGGTTTAATAGAAAGTGTGCTACCCGTCAAGTGGTTTCCTGCCGTCATTCCGAATACTTCAACTGGCGTCAGAAGTGAAACAGTCTTCCAGGCATGGATACAAGGAAGACCCGTCGGACTCACGGGATGACCGCGAGGATAACCTTGACGACTCGGGCCAGCTGGCATCGGGGGGAGAGGACGAGGAAATGCCGACGCCGCAGGACCCGCCAGGGCGCCGGACGAGCGACTGGGGACCGATGCCGTACTCCCGAGGCGCACTCCCGTCTGGCAGAGCTGCTGCTCGCCGCCGCGTCCATCCTGGCAGAAATCAACACAGCGGGAGGAGCGGGGACGTCGGCGGACATTCAACAGGGTCGCCCCGCAGATTCCCGCCAAAATGACTTGGCGATTCCCGCCATTTCAACTGCGCGGCATCTTTTGGCGGGAACGGCGAGCAACACGTGGCGGCGGTTCTCCACGCGCCCGCTACGTCATCAACGCGCCGCGGACCGCCATCAGCCACCCGCCATTGGGGCCGCCATCTTGCAGACCGACGGTGCGGCGGAGAGGAACCACGTGGCAGAGGACGACTTCATTTCCAGCAGCGCCTTCCCACATTGTCAGCCTTCAAGGCGGAGGCGGGGACTGGGGCGCATTCCAGCGCAGGTTTCTGGCGCATCAGGAATGTCGGCCTGGTCCGACGCTACGGCGCTGCGGGCACTGCCTGCCATGTTGGACGACGACGCGCTCGCGGCCTTCAGGTCCGCACAGAGGTCGGACCGCTCCACGCTTAAGGCGCGCTGGGTCTCATGGCCAAGGTCTACGGACCTCCCTCGGCGTGTCGCCATCACTTTTACGCCCGACGGAAGGCGACACGGAGACCGCCTCGCCTACCGCACGGCGTTGTTGGCTCTCGCCGACGCCGCGTTCCCTCGTATGGACGAGGAGGGCCAGGACGCGATGGTCTTGGAGCAACTGCTCAAGTTGGCGCAGGACCTGGGGGTCCCCATCAACACGGCCGACGAGGTCGATATTTCTTCTTGCGGGTCGCAACAAGTATACAGGCGTACGAGGTCCTCCAGCGTAAACAGGGGGCGTCTGCACTGCTGCCGTGGCCTCAGCTCCGGGCCCGGTGGTCACCGAGCCCCAAGTCGTCCCACGAGAGGAGGCGTTCACCGCGGACGACCGGGGGACTGGAGGTCGGGGGGTCGTTCGCCTCTGCGATCGGCCCGCAAGCTGGAGCAACCGAGACCTCCGACGTCCCTCATCACGTGTTACAACTGCGGCCTCCGGGGCCACGTGGCGTCCGGTTGCCGCGCTCCTCGTCAGCGCGCATGGGACCTCGGCTGGACGACGACCAAGGCCCCAAGTCATCCCTACTACCCCCGGCAAGTCGCGGCACTTCACATGCTCGGCCTACATGCACGACACACATGGGCCGTCGCGTTGCGGCGGAGGAAGGCCGGTTAGGGATCGGGGATTCGGTTCGGCGAGGGGGGTTCGTGCGGGACCGAGGGGACATTGAATGGTCTGAGTTGGGGCACAGGATAGTGGCTGCGTCGGCGGGATCATCGGTCGTTACGGGATTCATTGACGGGGTCGAGGTCAGGGTGTTGTGGACACGGGGCGTCGGCGACTATTATATCAGACCTCATTTACAACATTCTCCCCGTCCAATGTCGACCTCTGCTCCCGGTGGACGTGCCATTTTACGCGGCAAATGGGGGCTCGTTGGGCATTGTCGGCCAATTAGGGCGTCCATTTGCATTGGAGATATTAAATTGTCGGGACCCGTTTTCGTTTCTTCTTCCTTAGCGGTCCTTGTCTGTTGGGCACAGATTTTTTGGCTAAAATGCCCATTAAAATTCTCATCGATCAGCGTTGCATTGAGTACCATCGGGTCGCCGTATTTCATTTTGACGAATCCTACCGAAATTCGGACGGCGTGCGCTACGATACAAGCGCTGGCGACACAGACCGTGCACGTGCCCCCGGGTTCACAGATGTTAATTCCCCTCCGGTTGAGGAAACCATTGGTTGGGAGACCTCGGAACAGGCATGCTTTTGGGTCCTTCAATAGGGCTGTCGGGGGTCTCGATTTGTCGGTGGCTCACACTTTGGTTCGGGCTGACAAGGACCCGTTCGTGATGGTTTTAAACGCTGGTTCGCGGCCGGCCGTTATTCAGCAGGGCACTGTGCTAGCTCACGCGGCACGGGTCCCTGCGGAAGGAGCGCCTGGTTGCGCATGTTGATCCAAGCCCGACGCAGAACAATCCATCGAGGGAGGACCTTGAATGGGTCGATTCGCTGTGCGCGGACTCGAACGATTTGTCAACGGTACAGTTGGGTGCGCTGCGTGCGTTGCTGATGAATTTTCTGAGTTTCAGTAAGCATAAATATGACATTGGGTGCACGGACCTGTTGCGCCACCACATTGAAACAGGCGATGCGGCACCGGTCAGGCTAAATCCCTTCCGGCTGAGTCCTGTGAAAGGAACACGTTCAGTCGGCCGTCAACGATATGCTGGCGGCCGACATTATTTCGCCTTCTTCCAGTCCTTGGGGAGCACCTATTGTGCTGGTTAAAAAGCAAGACGGGTCCTTGCGATTTTGCGTAGATTTCCGTCGCCTGAATAAAATATCCGTGGCTGACGCGTATCCGCTCCCCAGAATGGACGAGTCCCTCGATGCATTGTCTGGCGCGCGATATTTTTCACTCTTGATTTATTGTCGGGATTCTGGCAGCTGCCACTCGACGACGAGTCTAGACCTAAGACGCATTTCGGACTCCAGGGGGCCTGTTCCAGTTTAACCGGTTACCCATGGGACTTCACTCCGCTCCCGCGACGTTTCAGCGCCTTATGGAGTTGGTTTTGTCGGGCTTGCAATGGGATACTTGCTTGATTTACCTAGACGATGTCATTGTTTTCAGTAAAACGTTTGAGGAACACCTCCAGCGGTTGAGAGGGGTGTTCTTGCGGATGCGATCGGCTAAATTAAAGTTTAAACCGGCCAAATGCCACCTTCTTCGTAAGTCCGTGAGATACTTGGGCCACATTGTCGATTCTTCGGGGATCTCTACCGATCCCGCGAAGACGAACTGTGTCAGTTCATGGCCAACGCCCACGTCGGTTTCGGACGTGCGCAGTTTCATCGGTTTTGCTTCTTACTACCGCCGATTCGTTGAGCATTTCGCCACCATTGTAAAACCCTTGCACGCTCTGACGGCAAAAGGAGTCAAGTTCCGATGGGGACCCGAGGAGGAGGCCGCATTCTGCTCCCTCCGGGACGCCTGGTGGGTGCCCCGCCCTTGCGTTACCTGACTTTACAAGTCCCTTCTTGCTAGACACGGATGCTAGCAACACGGGCATTGGGGGGGTGCTCTCACAGGTCGTTGGGGGAGTCGAAAGGGTGGTCGCCTATGGTAGCAGGGTTTTGTCGCCGGCGGAGCAGCGCTACTGCGTCACCCGTCGCGAGTTGCTGGCTATTGTTTTTTTTGTACAAATTTAGACCATCTCTATGGCCGTCACTTTACGGTCCGGACGGACCACGCGGCGCTTCAGTATTCATTGAGGGTCGCCCAACCCTCGGGCCAATTGTCACGGTGGTTGGAAGTCCTCCAGGACTATCAGTTCACGACCACATACCGTAAGGGGTTGCGCCACACTAACGCCGATGCCCTGTCGCGATTGTCGCCTTGTCACAAATGTGCGTGCTTAATGGGATCGGCGCGCTGTAAACCGCCAGCTGCGGAAAGTATGGGGGCGTTGGCCGCGACCGCGGATGCACCGATCGGTGATGTTCCCGCCCCTGAGGGAGGACTCGCTGCTCTCACTGTCGCTGATTGAGTGGGGCCGTCTCCAAATGGCTGACAGCTCCCTGCTAGCGTTGCGTCGCAGGGGGGGGGTCCCGAGGAGGGCCGGGAACGAACTGGCTCCTGGGTACTCAAGCAGGGCCTGTTAATGAGATGGGACAATTTGTCCCGGCGGCACGCACTCGTGGTGCCTTCCGCTGTGCGGGGGAAAGTTGTCCTGGCCGCACATGAACGCCTCTTGCATTTGGGTAACAAAACGCTTGCTCTGCTTCAGCGTGACTATTATTGGCCGGGGATGGGGAGTGATGTGGTGAATATTCTAAAGGGGTGGTTGATTGCGCCAGACGAAAACCGCCGCCGTGGCGTCAATCCACCGCTGCAATCTATTCAGGTCTCGCGCACTAACGAGCTCGTTGCGCTCGATATTTTGGGGCCTTTTCCAGTCACGCCAGGGGAAATAAGTACCTGTTGGTTGGTGTCGAATACTTTACCCGGTGGCCTATGGCGTGGCCACTCGCCAACCAGTCGGCGGCGGCTGTGACGGACGCCTTTGTCCAGGGCTACGTCTGGACAAGGGGGCTCCCGAACGCTTGCTGACCGACCAAGGGAAAATTTTTCTAGTAAATTGCTGCAAGAGGTGTGCGACCTATTGGGTACTAAGAAGGTGCGTACCTCCCCGTACCACCCACAGACAGACGGGATGGTGGAGCGACTCCACAGGACTTTGACTTCTATGCTGTGCCAGCAGGTGTGTGAGGCACATGTTGACTGGGACCTGCAGGTCCCGGGGGTCCTCGCCGCGTATAGAATGGCCCCCCATGCAGCAACGGGATTTTCCCCATTCTATCTGATGTATGGTCGGGAAGCCGACCCGCCCATGGAAACGCAGCTGGGACTGTCCGCGCCACGAACGAATTCGAAATTGGCTGAACATATTAAATTTAACATTCATAAGCTGACCGAGGCACGGGAGGCCGCACGGCTTAATTCGCGGGCTCGCCAAATTGCCAACGAGCGTTTGCGTGCACGGAAGGTGTCCGTGCACAACTGGAAACCAGGCGATAGGGCCTGGCTGCACTGCCCTCAGGCACCTTTGGCTACGTCGCCTAAATTGTTGAAGCCATGGCGGGGACCCGTGGAGGTCGTGCGGGTTGCACGCCCCCAGTGTGTTCAGATAAAATGGGGAAAGCGCCGTTGGTACGTCCACCCCTCCCGACTGAAACCGTTCTCGCCTCCATATGGCCTCCCTTTGTGTCGTGAGGGCCGAGCATGTGACGTGACCGACGACCCAGGGGGGAAATGTCTCCGCCTGATCCGCTCCCAGGTGTCTCGGAACTGACAGCTGCCGACCACCGGCGGCCGGATCCCCGCGCGCGGCCGGTCCTTCCAGGCCCGATCCGCGCCTTCCAGGGCTGCCGGAGCCACCAGACGGTCGTCAGCGTCCCGTCCCATACGATGGACCGGCCAGGCGGACTCGCGCTAAGTCGCGCAACTTTTCATGACCAACCGAATGAGGGGCCGATGCGGCCGGAGCGCCTCGTCACTGCGTTCCTCATCCGCTCGACCGCTCTATCATCCCGGTGGAGGAGCGAGCGGAGGGGGGGGTCGATAGTCACAGAGACACTGGACACGTTCTTTTCTTGACTTGCTTTTATTGTGTTGTTCGTCGGTTTGTACATAACTTGTTGTCTAGGTGTTGTGTGTTGTTGTTGACTTTTATTGTGTGTTGTCGGTTTGTACATAGGTTGTGTTGTGGTGTTGTGTTTGTGTTGTTGTTGTTGCGTTACGGGGCACACTGGGGGGTGGGGTTTTGTGTGTGTTGTTGTTGTGTTGTTTAGCAGCCGGGCCGGCTGCGAGCTATGTGGGAGGGGGTGATGTAGTGGTGATACGCGCTGGGGTATCGTGTGCCAGCGCGTAGTGATTGGCTGTGTGTGTTGGTGACGCGCGCTGACGGTGAAGGATCAGGGGTCAGCGCGGGGTCGGGGGTTATGAGGCAGTGATTGGCTGGGTATCGGGACGCGTGCGCGCTGACAGCGATGGGATCCTGGGGCAAGCGCGCGGGGATTGGTCAACTAAGGGGGATGCTCACGTCGAGGTCCGCATACGCTCCGTCTCCCGAGAGCGGGGGCTATATAAGGTGGTGCGCACAGGCGCACGGGAGTTGTGACCAGCGAAGACTGAAGACGGAGGAGGAAGAGATAGGGCCCTGCGGCACCTAGTCCCGCTGTCCTTGTAAGGGCCGGGGCTCTGTGTGACCCAGAGGCGGGACCCTGGGACCCGGGGCCGAACGTCCGTGTGAGGGCCCTCGGGACCCAGAGGTTGTGACCCACGCCCAAGCTGGGGTGGGCCTGGGGCTCCATGGACGTTACGGGGCTGGAGTGCAGTGTGAGCATGCAGTGTGAGCATGCAGCGTGAGCCATAGTAACTACACGTGTCAGTGGAGTGTGTAGCGGGAAAGTAGTGACCGCACGTGTCAGTGGAGTGTGTAGTGTGAGAATAGAGACACACGTTGTATCGTAACAAGTCAAGATTTAATAAAAGAGTGTGCTACCCGTCAAGTGGTTTCCTGCCGTCATTCCGAATACTTCACAATTTCCACTTTAACTTCCTGCACGATGTTTGATCGCAAGGGCGATGCTTCGGCTCACTCGAATTGGTG